CCCGAGTTAATGTGATGTTTTTAAAGATTTTGACAATTAATGGCAGCAAACTGATAGGGCGAAGTCACGTACGGAGATGATGAGGTTATTGAGGTTTGGGAATAGATTTTATTGACAATTTCCATTGAACTGGGAAGTAAGTAGTAAGGTAAATTCCTGAGGAAACTTTTCCTAGCTATTGCAGGATAGTTGTATAGGATCTATCTATTGTCTTTTTCTCTTCTAGGCATATCAACATTAGTCATCTGTTGATAGTCCCATCTTTTTTTGTAAGTGTTATTTTAATGGAGTATGCCCTGCTAGAGATTGCAGTTCCTTTCGGTTGAGTAAAATTCCCATTTCTTTTTCCGAATAGGATTTTTGCTTGTCTAATGCCTGTTATACGTTCCCATTATTTGTTATGTTCTTTAGTTACTCAAGGTTCCACTTATTTTTTATGTGGCTACACATTATGCCACAAAATGGATTTTGGCCTAGGTTCACAGTCTCCTTTTTTCAGCTAGTATGTCTCCTTAGGCTTGGAGAGACTTTAAAGCTGCCTGGATGGTCTGCTGGTATCGTTATGTTGACAAAAAATCTAGTAAACCAATTAAATTTTCATGATACACGTTTCAACATTCAATTGGATTCAGAAAACTTTTGGACTGAAGCGGATGATTGAGAAAAACAGTTATAAATGCATTGCAAAAGTATTTTACATAATTTTGAAGAGATGTTAGCAAGATAAGGATTTTTTTTTGTAATTTTATTTTTAATTTACTCATTTTTGACTTGAACTTCCCCTTATTCAGCCACGTAACTACTAACGTACATCGTTGATTTATTTGCAGCATAAATGTACTTATCACAGTTTTTCACAATCATCCGCGTCAGGCAAAACATTTTTCTCGTCATTACGTCATACGAAAGAAGGAAAATACCGCTCTTCCAAAGGTTATCGCGTACGTGAACTGCGAATGTTGAAACGTGTCATGAAAATGTTCCTTTACTAGATTTTATTTTTTCACAGTAACAATACTAGCAGAAACCCAGAAGCTCTAGTCTCGCCACTTACCAGATCAACTCAAAACTAGATTGGAACTACCTAAATACCCCCCCCCCAAAAAAAAAAAAAAAAAAAAAAAAAAACTGGGACCTTTAAATAGTCTAACTCTAAAATACCTACCAGGTATGGGGGAATTTTAGATAATGGGACAGCAGGCAAACTAGCTAAAAAAGGAGATTCTGAAATACACCGGCCAATCCATTTTGTGGCATAAACTATAGCCGCATTAAAAAATAATTAGCATCACGGGTAACTAAAGTACACAACATATACCGGGCATTAGACAAGCAAGAAGACTACTCGAAAAAACAAGGAAATATTACTCAACCCAAAGGAACTAGAAACTCTACCAGGGCATGCTCCAGTAAAATAACACAAAAGATGGGACTATCAATAGATGGCTAAATTCTGTCTCACTAAGGGCATTCACGATCCTTATGTTAACTCAGTTATATAGAGAAAAATGATGTAGTCCTGTTAGAATCGGCTAGTTAACATTACACAACCTAGGTTAACTTGTTAACTCGAATGGAATAAGCGTAGTTAGGCTTTTAGATGGTAGGATACAGTTAAAAGAGAAAGTATAAACATATCGGATTGTTAATCAAGTCTCGAATTTAAAAAAAAGAAGAAAAAACGGGAGATGTAAAGCGTAGGAAGTGGGCTTTTTAGTTCATATGTTCACAGTGATCCCAATGACTAATACCCTTTAACTGAAAATCTTCTCTAAATTTTTGTCCGATGTTTCAGAATACATATTAAAATTGCGTCCCGACTTCAATGAAATGGATGCAATTTTTGGAACTAGAAAAATATTGAACTTTTTATGTGTACATTGTTCAATTTATCCACCATACACATCTCAGGAAAAAAAAGGAAAAAAAATGGTCGCCCTGGTATTTTAATAGATACTTGCAATCTTTATAATTTTTATTTTTTGTTGTTTACGGGATATTTTCAAAAAGAAACATATGAGATATATCTAAATAAAAAAATGAACGTAGTAAACAATTTAACCAAAAATTTTGCTATAGAAACACGAAGAAAATATTCAATTCAGTACGGAGTATTTCCTCCTGCGTTGATAAATAAGTTTTACATTCTTAATTCCTGCAAATTCTCTGGCATCAGTACGACTTTATTCTCTTTGACAAATCGACCCAAAGGTGTTCGGTAAGTTTAAGTCGGGGCATGTTAAATACCCTGGCAACGTCCAACTTCCACCACTTGACTTCTTCCATCTTCCAACAATGCTAACTCTAGACGAATCTGCATCACTTAAAACCATCACTCAAATTTGAAACTTAAAAATGGCACCACTTAAAAAAATTAAACTACCGAAACGATAGAAAGAAGCTTTACAGAAAAATCAACAAAGAAGAGATTGACTATTCAAAGATTTATTTCCCACACGAACACTGGATCAAGGTTTTGAAGAAAAACAAGAAAATTCAGTTGTTACTGCTAAGCTTTCTGTTACAGTTTTGGCAAGTTATGTCTGAGTCGGTCTTCAAGTAAATTTGCAAATCGTCTGTAAAAAACGTAAATATGCTAATCTGTACACATATTTAAGATTGTTTTCCATGATGATGACCTTAAAATAGGTCGAAAGCTTGGCAGTAAAAACTGAATTTGCTTTTTTCTTCAAGTCCATACCTAAATCCAAAGTGTTCGTGAGTGAAAAAGTGATCGATAATTCTAACATTGAAAATATTTATTAATTAAATCCAATTGTAAACACACGTGTGAGATTTTATCTTTGTTTTATTTACCTCTAATCTTTTAAAATGGACCCAATATTATTGTAAGATAATGAATGGAGGATTGTCTAAGATATAACTAAAAACATTAAGGATGACCACTTTGTTTATCCCTCAGTGTAAATGTATGTAGAATCACCTGCAATTTATTCCATGTCTGAGAATAAATAATTTACTTTCAAATTCAGAGAGGTGTTAGGGATGATCCTGGCATCGTGAATGTCTATCTCAAACCAACTGAGCTTTTATAACGAAGCTCTGTTTACAAGAATAATACTTATAAGGATCTACAATTGGTTTTTCTTCCAGTGAGAATACATTTCCTTCCATCCTCGTACCCTATGCAGCAAGGAAGTTCATTATATTATTCACAAACCAGTAGTTCTCTCTTCCAATCTAGCCAGTTCAGATATTTGTCTGTTATTGTGAAGGACAGCGATAACTCTTTTTGTTACAGTACCGTCATCGCCTATTCCAAACAGATTTTAACATCAGAAGCACCTTCTCTTCACCATAGTAGCTAAATCGGTGCAGAGCAATGAATAGCAAATGGGTCCCCTGCTCACTGTTGACAAGCACAAGTTATTCAGACAGCAGTTAAATAAAAGGATTTATTCACTTATTTATAATGGCTGTACTTTTCCACTGTTGTAGCTCGTAGTCAATGTCACGTGTGTACACCGCTATCACCATTTCATGATTGCAAATTATCTAAACACGGTCAAACCCGCTCTGTAATACCTACGCTAGTAGTTTCGTTAAAAATGTACTACTAGGCCAGTACTATTGTTTTCGAATTTCTCGAAAAGTACAGACGATATACCCGTATGTATAAGAAAAAATGTCTCAAACCGAGCTTCGGATGCTCCCAATTCTTCACTTTTTCGAGCATTTTTACTTTGAATTTGGGCAATTTCAGCAACAACAGCAGACATTTTTTAAACTATTATCGAGACTTTTCTATCGAGAAAATGCCACGTGAACACGCAGTCGCACTCTCATACTATTGCGAGAGAACTATCGTGAAAGCAAACTTTAGCGTGTAAACAAGGCTTGAAAAATCCTCATAAGACAGCAAATCGACAATAAAAGCACTAGCACATAAAAAGATCACATGTAAAATAGCGAGTGAATGCATCCAAAATCTCAGAAAACCTGGGAAAATACAACCTGACAGTATGTGCCAGGTAAAGTAGTTCCGGGTACTGGTAAAAACAGTAAAACCGGCTGGGGGAGGATCTTCACGATCTTATACATGCCAAGAACCTATACTCGGGAAAAGATCAAATACAGACTCCTCCATCTAAGAAAGGGTCCACAAAAAACAAAAGCAGAAGTGGACGAACATCAGAGGTGCCAGTCAGAGTAAACAGACAGTTAAAGAACCTTTACTGGCAAGCACACTTCTAGTCAGTCAGGGGAGTGGCAGGGCTGTATACTGGTCACTGCCCTCTAAAAAAACCCACAGCACATGGGTGTATATACAACGATGACGTAATTTGTAGATTATGCAAAAACATAATTTGTAGGTTATACAATGAGATCATCGTTGTAGATCATGGAATGGTGGCAACATTTGCTGGATTTTTAATGATGAGATCGTTTGTAGGTTGACAAATTAGAAACTGATACCCATTTTATCTCTGAATTCAAAGCAACCGCTCCATGGACACAACCTAGAATATTAAGAAGAAAAATAATTGCAGCAATGGCAGTCAATGACTATACTTCTTAAGAGAAGAATCGAATCAACTGAACAGAACTAGGAAAAAATACGGTAAGGGAGATGGCTGCTTGGGGGTGTACAAAAACCTCCCATTCCTACCTCTCGAACCAGAGGTCAAACAATTTAAATACTTTTTTCATATCCAGTTAAAATTCCGAGAGCTATGCCGGGATTTGAATCCAGAACCGCTAGCGTGATGGAAGACGAGTCGACACCCTAACCATTCAGCCAGTGAAAACTGATTTAATGACTGTTGAATTTGAATAGATAACCAGATAAAACAAGTGAATTTCGATTTTTGTATTATTGATTACCGAGTTAAATTTGACCATATTTACCACTGGAAGTTGAATAACAGAATATAAGCAGTTTAATAAGAGTGACAGGTGAGAATCGTAAATGACAAACGAGAACATTCCACGCTGGGACGGCAGATGAGAGAGGCGCGCCGGGGCGGATAAGGATAACAATATAGGAGTGCAAACCCGGATGGCAGATAAGGCGGACGACCTCGACGACCCGGTCGAGAGAATGCTGAAACAGACCGGCTGCCTGAAACAGCACTACAAAGTTCAGGTAAATGGGCGATAGACTCACCTGCGGTGTGTCTTCGTCAATGACGGTGCCGATCCGAGCCCGCGGTCCTCGCAGACATGTCAAGTTTAACCTCGAAGGCTAGTTTTCCTTGATCGGGTCCGGTCCATCCCGGAAACGAAATAAGCCGTTTCCCTGATCGCGAGTCAAAACACTTCTATCGAGAGGCCTTCGTTTTTGAGATCGATCCACATGTCTGACAGACGCGAGATGGAAAACTTAACTTCCAACGTACGGTCGGACACGTTTCTCTACTGATTGCAACCTCCCCACGCTCCCTGACGCGACCTCACGAATTGCTCTTTTTATCACCAAAAACTTTTGTTATTAGAAATTCGACTCCATTCGGTTTTCTTATGTTATAAACATTTAATCCTAATTAAAAAGTAATAAAAAGCTTAAATATAAAATTTCGTTTAGTGTAGAATACCATTCTGACCGTATAAAAGATGCTCTGTTTTTCCTTCACTGCGAAATCTTACTCGGGCCGGTTCCCATGTGTTTAACTTTAAAAGAGTCAGACAGGAGAAATTACGGAATCCGCCATGTGTTGCCGACGCTGAGTTTCGCGAGTTTGCGGAAGGTTATGGGTCGGTCGGCTCGTCGGATTTAGATTTTAGATGTTTCTACAGCTAAAAAGTCTAAAACGTAAGTAAATTTTACCATTGAGACGTAACGAAAGATCGAACTTTGCCAAGAATCTACAAGAAAATATGATCAAGCGGATGTATAATAACGTGTTCTGTGAAATGTAAACAAACCGAATTTTACTGAAGGTCAATTTATCATAGTAAAATTAGTTTTGATGACACAAAAACGCAATAAACACTTTCATTAATAACGTGGTTTCTCTTATATACTCTTTTTTAATTTTTGTTTACAGACTCCAGAGTATAAAACACCCTTTCAATTTGAAAACTATTCTGGCAGGTTATAAAAATATATTCCCTTAAACACGAATTTGTTAAGAATAATGACCCTCCGATATGATAACCAAATTAAACTAATACATAAAATGGATAGAACAGCGAACACAGTATAGGAATAAAAGTCTGAAAAATAAATTTCACTTAAGATTTACCTCTTTTTTTTCTTTTGTTCTTTGTTTTTCACTCTAATAGTTATAAGATAAAGTAAATTCCTGGTGGGGTTTGGGCTTTGTGCGCCAAGTGTTTGGTCGGGCCACAGAGCTCCCTGGGCTCGTTGGCCCCGGGCCTTGGACGGCGGAGGATGTGGACTTTTCCATAAAATTGTAAATTATTTTATCCATATCACCGATAAGATCTCCGTCACATGAAACCGGATTGGATTAAATGTAGGTAGAGCTCCTGGGAAGCGCTTGGGGTTGGTTGCTCCGTGTCCAGCTCCTTGCCTGGTGCAGGAATTGTATGCATGGCCAATATGAAAAATAAGGCAAAAAAAATCTTTTTTGTTTAGTGGATTTTTTTTTATGTTCAGTAGGACTGTATCCAGATCAGAAAAATAAACGGAACTGGTCTGACTGTAGCCACAGTTCGTCCAGTTCCTCCATTTTTACTAGCAGCACAAAACAAAATGCAAAAAGGTTTGAGGTGTAAGCAAAAAGAAACACCTTTTGCCTTTTGTTTGCACCTTCAAAATAGACAGAAAGAAAAATATTAAAAATAGCTTTAAAAAAAAGCTTATGGACAGAGGAATTTTTGAATAGTGGCATATGCTTACTTGAAATATTGCTCGGCTGGTGGAGGTAGAAAATAGAGGAAGTTTAAATTTTCTTTCTTTTGTTATAAGTTACATGTTTATTATTTGGATTAAAGAGCACAGCAATAATAAATACAATGACCAAGTAGATTCTTGGTCAAGGAGCAGCTTAGGCCCGGTTCACCCAGAGGCTATCGGTATGAGAGATGCATATGTGATGGTTGGTATGATATACAAAAAGTATCCAGGCGACTCCTGGTGACTAGATTCAGTCGTCTCCCCCTCATCTCTTCTCGATTTTCTCCCAATCGGTTTAAGGACCTAGATATATTCTGTCATTTTTTTAATGTTTATATTTTTATAATGGACAAGTTAGAATTGTTGCTCTTTGGCATTTAATTTGACAAAATAAGAGTAAAAGTAGAGTAATGTGGGTTCACTCACATTTTCTTTTTTAACTTTACCTGCATTATCGTGATTACTGTTGTTCCAAAGCGTGGGATATGTTTGAACTAATGAAAAATTTTCTTCTTTTGGCCTTATCACAGATACTTAGCCAAAGGTCATACTGGTGGCGGAAGCAGAAAACCAGGAGCAACCCCAGGCCCAGGCCCTACCAAAGCCAGCCCGCCGCGAGAGGGGAAGGGAAACCTTTATCACTTTATGTCAATTTCTACTTATACTGTAACCAACTCGTGGATGTGGATAAAAACATTTACATCAAAATCAACATGGAAAAGTCCACATCCCCTAAGTCACAAGGGCTGATGTGCCCGAACTAACCACCCCGGCGATCCCCAGGCCTCAAGCATCCCCAGCACCCTGCCCAGCCACTAATTTAGCAGCTCTTGATTGAGTGAAAGGGACGCTCTCTTTGATTACCGTATTTTGTACAGTATAGAAAAATGTTCTAATGAAATGTGTTTGTCGTTATCAAAAATGACACTTTATCCATTTTTTAAAAGTTTCAAAAAGAAGGCGAATGAAAACAAGAGTCAGACAGAGCAATCTGTTTGATACAGTATGAACTGTATGAATGACACCATACTATGCAATCTCCCATCAGTCGCCTTCATGCAGAAAAATTATCAAGCAACTAAAAATTTGTATTGGTATCTGATACTGGTTGCTTGCCACTCTCCGTCTGAATGACCATATCTGTCTCTAAGTTACATTGGTCTTATTGATACCGATTGTCTCAGTAAGAACCAGGCCTTACAACGGTGCAGCAAAAATACACTGAAACTGTCATTGTGACCCATTTGAAAAAGTTACATGGCTAAAAACTGAAGAGAAGGTATATTCAACTATGCAAGTGACCTCTACCAAATTGGTAGTTCACCATTTTGTAACATGAAAAGGAAAGTAAGGTCATAGAAGACCAAAGTTGTTTTTGTGGGTATGGTACAGTGTGTCTGGCTCAAGACAGAGGACCCCGTAAGAAAGCTGGGCAATGACTGCAATAGTCTAAACACTCCAGCGGGCCAGGAAATGGAGAATTTCGTTGCAAGGAGAACAACTAAGGCCCAGCTGGAGTGCTCGAGAGGAGAAGGGTCGGCTGGAGGAGACAAGTTGGAGCAGTTCAGATTGGACAGAGACATCACAGGCATGGGAAAAGAAAAATGGTTTCTAGACATTTTTGTGGTTTTTGTCAGGTTGCAGGATTCCAGAGAACCAGAAGAATTAAAAAAAAATGGTATGGGCTAGGCCAGAGTTTGGACTCTAGGTAGGTTGACCCCGGATCCTAAGAGGACATGGACTTTAACAGAATGTAACCAATGTAAATGGTTTTTATCTGTGTCCTCAAAAATGGCCTCTTGTTTAATCAAAATAAGGAAAAAAGTTCTGCTTGATGGCCAATGTAGGGACGTTGTCTCCTTTCAATGCAGGATTGCAAATTGCTCACTCAGTTAACAGTATTGAACAATACCCTACAAGTTTACCAGAGTTAACCGAGTTCTAAGAGCTCAATGTAAATATTGTATGTTTTACCAGATAGAACTGAGCAGTTAATTCAGTTCAGACTTCATGCCACACATTGCAAACTGATATATTATTTATTTCACACATAGAAAAATAGATTCTAGCTGTCAGCTCTAGTTGGTAGAAGTCATATCAACCCTCTGGATGCCGGTGTTTTTGAGAAAAAGCCTATTTTTGAGCATGTCAGGTTCAAATGTAGGGTCGCTGGATTCGAACCCGGGACCTTTACTTTACAGTGATGAGCACTGTGTCATTGCTTAAACTGTTGTTGGTGGCTACCGATGCCCCAATAATTTTTGTTGACTATTTTAGGGTTGGTACATGTAATATGTTACAAAAGATTTGAATCTTAGCTGATATTCTGGTGACGTTTCAATTTTGTAATACCTGTTCTTGTATACTGAAGCAAACTATTCTGATGTAAGCATTGGATATTGTAAGCAATATCTCCCCTCTGTAATTTTTACTACAGTTAATGCAGAATTACAAGGAAAAATGATCAGGCATTAGACAAGAAAGTACTTGTTTGGCAGATTGGCAAGAAAATCCATAGTATCTCGGTAGATGATGTTAGGCTGTATCGTATCTCAAAGAACATCAAAGCTCTTGACACTCATTCCATAATAATTTAAACAATAGTCTGGGTGGTCTCATAAATGTGTATGCAATTTATAAAATTACCCTTTTTTCAAATATTGCTGATGAGAGGATGCACCCAATATCATTTCTTTTTCCGAAATTTCTTCCTTCTTAACTCGAAAGCACACAGTAGCTAACTCAGTGAAGTCCTTGATAACTGAAATATATTAGTTGATTGTGTGCTCACAACCCACAACTAAACTATTTAGTTGCTCAAACATGTGCGGTTCAGTAGATATCGAACCAAACCATTTTGAAACTATTGCGCTACTAAACCTGCGGGTTGCGCCTAGCCTTACAGTTCATTTGGTGATGTATGGTTTGCGTACAAATTAAGCAATCGCTGCATATGAAATCATCCTCATTCAGGGTTAGGTTGTAACAGACAGCCTCCTAGTTGTACAACCAACCTGTACGTCCTATCTTTCTTTAATATTCAAATACCTAAGCAAAGAATCTTAACAATTTGTGCAAATTTCAAGTAGCTAAATTTGTTGATTGGATTAGACAGAAATGTACAGTCAGGCTAAAACAGTTTTACTTACTTATTAACGAATGATTGTTTTTATGTAGTGTTCAGATATAAGTATTTTCTTCACAGATTTTAACAGCATATATTGTTGTATGTTCTAAGTATTTGTTATTTTAATAGGAAATCGTTATATTTATGTTGGTTGAGAATTATATCAGCCCTGATTGTATTTTTAAATTGCATAATGTTTTCACAGTCTTTTTGTGCTGTAGAGCTTAATAAATGATCTAAACATATTTTAGTTTTAAACAGATTCAGTAGCTGTGTTTTATTTTAGGAATGTATTGCTGAGAAACGAGATTGGAGAGTTTGCCAAAGTGAGGTTCAGGATTTTAAAGCTTGTATGGCAGAATATAACCTCAAGAAAACTTCCAAAATAGATTCCTAGAAGATGTACCAGTATAATTTAAGTGTCCAGGATGTATTAGTCGGATTTACGGTTGGGCTGTTAACAGGAATTTTTGTACCAAAATTATTCAACTCCAAGAATATAAAGACACTTGCGACTACAGCATCATCATGGAAACAGTACAGAGATGTCAAAGTAAGTTGTTTTTAAAGAGGTTTCCTTTAAATTTATTTATTCCTTTTACTTTTTTCAGATGGTGATTGTTGTGAGGTCGGATTTGCTCATGGGTAAGGGGAAAATTGCTGCACAATGTTCACATGCGACATTAAGCGCTTATAAAGAAGCACTCAAGTTGAACCCAGATATGGTGAAAGCATGGGAAAAGTCTGGGCAGACGAAAATCGTCCTCAAATTACCCAATGAAGGAGAGGAAAGCACCGAAAATGCCCTTTATAAACTTAAAACCAATGCGAACAATTTAGGAGTCGTCGCTTCAGTAATCCACGATGCTGGGCGTACTCAAATTGCTAGTGGTACAGCAACTGCTGTTGCTGTAGGTCCAGCTCAATCCAAAACCGTCGATCTTGTAACTGGACATCTTAAGCTATTGTAGTTATTATACATTAATAAAATAACAAAATTGATTATTTGTCAAGTATACATTTTCATGAACCTAAACATAAAAACAGGCCTGACAAAAGTTTAGCCAAAAAGAGTCTTACAAATATAAATAATACTTTAAAATTAATGTATGGTTATTTATGATGCATACAAGTGCAATAATTTTGATTATTAATTAATCTAACACCAACACAGTATTTCAGTAGTGCTAAAGTTTTAAATTTCAATACCAGACATAAATAAATATAGTCGCATGCCTTAAGAAAAGCCTGTTCAAGTTATTTCCTTGCAATTCTAGCCATAGGGCTCCAAAATAATCTGTATCCTAGATTTTGTCCTATGATGTTTCCATTGGGATGATATGCTGATTATATATTTATATTTCAAGTCAATGGATAACCGCCCTTTCCAAATCTAGAAATGGCAAGAACAGTATGTATAGGTACGTCTGTGTACACAATTTGTGCATATATAACATAATGTCCTGCAGAAGTAACCCCCAAAACTCAGGTGAAATCTTAAGACAATATTCTTCTCATGACTTCCCATCCAAAGACAAGAAATTAAGATTTTACCCAAATTGTGAAATTTGGTTTATTGTGAAATAAAGCCCAGATGGCTTACAAAGTTAAGAAACTCTTGGTGTTTCATAGACGCGAGCGGGAGAAAGTATTGGATATCTACCCTCCAAGTCCGGCGCTACCAGGGATAGTTGCTGGCTGTTGCGTAAAGGATTTAATGGATAAAAAATTTAATAATTCATTTGATAATTAAATTTATTAATTCACAATTTATGATATAAATACGGAAACTAAAATCTGGCCAGAAACAAAGTTAACAAGAAGAAATATAGATATATATAGAGATACACAAAATGACAAATGTTGAGAAGAAAAAGAAGGACGTTTGTACGTCTTGTTGTCGACTCACAAAAGTGAAGATCAGACGATAAGTTCGTGCTTATCGTGATTGGAGTCTGGCAGCCACTCGCCGGATGAAGTCAAAGGTGCGGTCATTTGTACCCATCGGAAACCAAGGAGCGACTGACTGAAAACAGCTGATGAACGTTCGTGCGTACAGGTTGAATCCCAGGTAGCAACTCACTGAAGACAACTGATGTACGTTCGTGCATACAGGTCGAAAACCAGGCAGTCTCACTGTTTTTATGACATCTTGCTGAAAATGACCTGATTCTCCCTCCAGCGTCTTGACTTACAAATTTTATGTTTTCATAATTTTTTAAATAACTAAGATAATAAATGACAAGATTTCTTAATTAACTATTAATAAATAAAAAGGTTTACATTGGCGTAAACTCATGGGGTGTAGACTAACATCAGAGCAGCTGCCATGTATATTTCTGATCCATACCTTACTATAACTGAGGGTATAAATTATAATTTGGCACAATGGCAACAAAACCAGTCTCAAGAACCCACTGAAATCCTTCTTCCGACATGCGAGAGTTTTTTCGTATTTTGTCTCTGGAGTTGAATTTATGTGAAAACAGCAAGAAATGATAGACCAAAATGATTGGAAACGAACAAACTACAGGTTTATACCACAGTCCTCATGAATAAATCTCACAATTAAAGTTCTTAGAGTGTAGCATCCTAGCTATGCTTGCTTAAACCTTGGCTAGTCTAGTGTTCAAAAAATGAGGCAATTCTAGGTGAAAGTGAAGCACTTAGGTTAGAAAGCACAATGTACATTTTAAGAAAATCACAAAATGATTTAAAAACAAGGAATTGGGACTGTTGACTAAAACCAAGAAGTGGTTTTATTTGTCTTCCCTTGAAACCATAAATTCAATTTTGTTTTGTAGCAACGTGGATTAGTTAGTAAAAATACAGAGGGAGGCCCTTTGGGTTTAAATGTGCAAAATATATTTAAAAAAAATACAAATTACTTTACATAAAATTCATATATTTACAAGTTTTGGTTTGCTATTTTACAATAAGACAGTTGGCATTGAAGGTAGTATCAAGCGGATGACTGCTTATAGCTTTTAGTGTCTAAAAGCTTCTTTCCACACATAGCGCATATACCCTTTTTGTATGCACAAGGCTGGCAATACCTTGAGCCCACCTGATGCACCTTCTGCCGGCAAATCCTGCATGCTTCAAACTTTGTCGTGTATGGGTTGAACCTCGCCTTGTTGGCCGTTATTGCCTTGTTCTCGCCAACTTTTCTCCCTCCGCTCTCCACTGTGTTCCTCGCCCCCGACTTCCAAGGATCCGGCGTTATCACCTTTCCCAGTTTCTTTTCGCACTTTTCACAGACCATTGTATAAAATGACAGGAGCGGCTGACTTGTTATACGGTAACGTTTAGACCTTTTTGGAGCAAAAAAATCATATACTACCTTAAAATCATATGGCATAAAAATAATAATGTGATTTTCAAACAAATTAGACAATTAAGCAATTAGGTTTTAATACTTTTCGAATAAAAACAATAAGTACCGGTTTTCTATTGAGTTGCTAATAAAAACTCATCACGACGGTCTGTAGTTACGAGATTGTTCCAAAAGTCCAAATTTTATAACTAATAAACGTTTGACTTGCAATTTTTCAAACGTTTCATAGGAAATTTCATGTCAGGGCAATGTATAAGTATAAACAGCAAAAAAGTTAGAAGGTTATAATTTGTAAACAAAACTTTGCGATGCCTGGTGAGGATTTTATTTACGGATACACTACGTTCGGTTTTGTTTCTTGTATATTCTCGTTTTTCAGTATTGTGTGTTTTACGTAGAATTTGTCTTTCGCAGGACAAGTTTGTTTCTGGAAGTTTTTTTTTAATCCATCCGCGGGTGTGCAACTTTTTTTTGTTCAGTACATAGAAAATGGGCAAGTAAAAGCAAACGTCGAAGGTTGTAATTTATAAACAAACCGATGCGAAACGTGGTGAGGAATGAGGAATTTAATTAGGGATATATTAGCTATGTTCGGTTTTGTTTCTTGTGTTTTATGTTTTTTATTGTAAAAAATAACAATTTAATCTTATACAATAAACAGTTTAAGTGTAGACAAATGTTTCGCCAAAATTGTTCGTAAAACTGTGCAATCACAGATAAATCGCTCCGATCAATCGACGACATGGCATGTTTGAGCTTCTCCGGCTTTAAGATTTACTCAAGAAAAACAGAAATTGTGTCGTGAGTAATATATGTACATATATATTTATAATTATACTAAACATTTCAACAATGCTGTCCAATGGAAATTGGGTAAAAAAATTAATGAACAACAAGTATATTCTCGTTTTTCAACATGATTGTGTGTTTTGACGTAGGTCTTTTCTTTTCCAAGCATACATGTTTGCTTGTGCCCTTCTGGAGGTTTTTTACCCATCCGTGGGATTGCAAATTTTTGGTTGTTCAAATAGTAATACACTTCATTTCATCAATGATGTCATCTGAAATTTTGAGAAGTGCTGCCCCACAACTATGAAATTTTCGGAAGCCAAATTGAAATCTTACCTTGCCAGGTTATCCTTTTTTTTTCAGTTTTTGTAAATTATGGCTCTACTCACAGATTTGTTGTTTACAACTATCCGGATTTCAAGCATTAAACGCTCATCATCAGTTGGAGTTACAACTCTCTCTAGTCTCAAATTTCAACATGAATTGTAAGGTGAATCAGCCGATCCACGCCAACACGTGCTAATTTTGGACGTGCGAAAAACTTGAATTACAACACAACTAAAGAGTTAAACTATATTTAAAGTAATAAATCTACGTTAAATTAGAGATCAATTTATTTGTCTTTTTATTAATAAATTCATAATAACAATTTAAATTAATTAATTTGTTCGTCAAATATTATTTAGGCACATATTTAAAAATGCGGGGTAAATCAAAATCTAGTATATTAATTATTCAAATTATATTTAATAATTCGAGATCTTCCTTTTTAAAAAGTTTAATTAAAAAGTATCAGCTCCAGCGATAAACTTGTGAGGAAGTGTACTCAAAATCTGTAACAACTACCCTCGATTCATTATTAAGTCACCTCGTATTAAGAGGGAGGAATTTTTCATGGTAAACATGAAGATTACTCATTTTTGTAAACAAACACCTTTTCTCCATATTAATCCAGTTGTATTCTTTTTAACCACGGAAACACATCATCTTGAACCAGAAGTTCGCAATAGTTTGTGAGAATGAGTCATCGCGGTAACCGGGAAGTGGATGTCTTGGCAAGGCCTTTATCAACACAAACATTCCTAACCTATTGTGAGCATTATGTTTCCCACTGGAGTCGCAATGTCATTTAACATTCAGGTTCTTTAGCGTGCACACCTGGCACATAGGCACCGGCCACACGTTTAGATTCTCGAGTTAGGAGCGACTCACCTCCGCGCACGGAAAATCTGCTTCTTCCGTGAGGTAAGGTGTAGAAGCCTACATCATCCTGCAGCATACTGCCGTCATGTCGACTTCTCCCGCTTGTCCCTTCCGAGGGGGTGGGCTAACATTATGCACTTAACAAGTGCCGCGCGTAAAGGGATACCCAAAAAGTGGTCGAAATGCATCGACCAAGTGTCCCATGCACTCCCTAGATAGAGAAGACAACTCTATCTCCCTGGGTGTAGGGGTTCCGCCAGCGTCGAAACCTCCGGATGCCCTCCGGCCGCGGTTTCGATTTAAGTGGAATCTCTAACCACCCCCTAGAGGAGACCATGCCTTCGGTAAAGGCAGCCCAGAGGGCCACCACCAAAAAACATCCTCCCCCCGTCCACCATTCCTCACCCATTCGAGGGACTCCGTCAGCGTAGTCTTAGCTTTTCGATGGCTATACGTTTCGGCGGTATGATCCGTCCGATTCCCGCGAGGTCGGAAGGTAATTCGGAGGTCATACGCAAGTACTACGGTCCACGGCCACGAATGAAACAGCCTCTTCTCTAGGTGCCCGTTAGGGGTCGCACCACTAAACTTATTGTGGGCAGTTGGCCTCACATCGTATGCCCCTTTGAGACGACATGCAGCAACAACCCGCCACCAGCAAGTCAGGAGAATATGGTGCAGCGAGCTAAGCTAAGAGAAGACCAATGGAATGCTACTATGTTTACTGATGAGTCGCGTTTCTGTCTGTAAGGGATAGCAGGCGCCGAAGAGTCTACCGAGAACGGGATGTGTACAGTGCCCTAGTTCGTGATCCCTTCAGTGCAGTTTGGAAAAGACGGTGTAATGGTCTGGGCTGGAATTTACACTGGAGGACGAACTGGACTCCATATGGTTGAAGGCAACCTCACCGCAGTCCTTTATGTACAAGAAATTATCGAGTACTATAGTTCCCTCAAACCAGGGATCTCATGGACAGGGATTTTCGATTTCTGGATGACAATGCCAGATCTCATAGAGGCAGAGTTTTCATCAATGTTTAGAAAACACTTTTCAATTATCGTGAAGAGAATCGCTGGAACGAATGAACAGCGACGTCCTTACTGAGATGATGTCCTAATTATTTGAAAACATTTTCTCCAACCATACAGTGAGCGGTCGGTTGTTGGAATCCTTTTCAAATTTTGTCTATTAATTAACTCTAGGCCGGTAGCATCGCCTGTTAAAAAAGCTTATGTGCACTATGTAAAATAGCGGATTACGAATATGCTGAGGGCTTCTCTTTAACCATTAACAACTAGTCATTCAATTGAATGAAGAAAATTGTTCCTAAAATTAGTACTTAAAAATTGTGCAGTTTGCCAGTATCAGTGGTCGTTCAGCCGACACGCGTCTGACAGACCAAACCAGGAGATACGAGGTACCAATATTGTCTATCGTGCAATCATTGACCAGAGCTTTTCGTTTTTGCCGGATTCTTCTTTGTTAAGGGCTCCCGTGGCTATTTTTCAGGCCCTTCCCAGGAATAAGAATCTCAGCCCGCATAGGCTTTTTTAAGCATTTTCCGCAATTTCTTATTCCTGGCAATATCTGCATAGACTTGTTTCTGCTGCTTCGAGTTTATACATATCTCAGTGTTGTCTGCAGTGTCCTACTCTTATACTAGTTTTAACATGCCCTTGTTTTAGCGATTCTGCCCTTAGTTTTTGTGATGGTCCTTTGACGAACTTGTCCATTAGGCCTCCGTCCTGGAATACATTTCCATTTAACCGAAGACTTATTCTTAAACCGTTATCTGATAGATCCACGATGTTCTCAATTTGGTATGCCGCGAATATTCAGGGCCGATAGGTGTCCTCATCAAACTTTCCTTGGCTAATTTATCTCTGCCCTGTATTCTCTGGTACCCAAACAAGGCTAATTATTTTGCTTTAACTCAACGTCTGACAGGGCCTAGATGCAATCCAATCGGCTCAGGATATTAATACTGAGGCTACTCTATCATATCTGGCTTTTGTTTTGAAATTTCTTATCAAACCTGAAGGTTCATAAGTCTGTGCTGTATGAACTATGAATTAAGCTTATCTTGGCAAAGGTTTTGATGACGTTTTTACGGAAGGAGCAACTCGCTCTATGATTCAAATTGTAATATATAATATTGGTTTTGGGGATCACACTAAATATCTTAATATGATGCGTTGATCATGTACGTCTCATGCAGTTACGTAGAACAACATTTTAGGGAGTGTGAAATGTTTTTATATTAGTTTGTTTGGTTCAATCCCACGTTTGTTTCATAACGTCCATAAAATAATGTAGGCTTTAAGATTTGATTGCATATTAAAATTTTATTTTGTATGGTATTTCAGCCACGTTCTCGCAATCAATTTAGATATTTATATCTTAAATCTATTTCTGTCCTTTTTTTCTTTACGCGATGTTTCCATCTCATCTTGACATATAGGATCATGCCCAGATATTTAGCTGTGTATGTTATGATAGCTCCATTGATGGTGATTGACGGAATATAGTCAACTTTTTATTTATAACGTTAATTGTAATGATTCGAACTGACTGAACTTGATTATCCATTTTTTATTCCACTGATTTGTTTGGTTGCGATCTTTTGAGGGTTTTTACAAGAATTGTTGAAGGTCGATCCTGCTGAAATCACCGCTGCATTATCTGCATTTGTGGCAATTTTTTTTCGCCAACCATTTTTGGAAAATCGCTGGTGTAACGTATGTAGAATGTAAAGTAAAGGACCTAGTATGTTCCCTTGGGGTACTCCTGATAGATTTTTTTCATGTTTCTTGTTTGACTGTAAAATATCAACTAAGTAGGAAGTGAGTTTATACTAACGTAAATATGGGTTCATTATTGAAAAATACTTTGGTTAAGACTTACGAATCCGTATGAACTTTGTTGAATTAAGTTTTTACAAAACTATTGCTTAAAAGGTTTACAGAAGAAACACGTACAAGAGGTATACAGAAAAATGGTACTGAAATCAGGATAATTACTGACAAATTAAGTACTAAATTTTTCTCTGTCTAGGACAATATAATATCGTTTACCAATGATGGGGTTAATTTTGTTCCCTTTATTTCATTGTTATTATATTTTTAGCTGTTTGAGAAAGAGTTTTATGTGATGGATCGCCCAGTGGTGATACCATATTGATGACCTGGCGTAAAATTAAGCCCTGTCGGCCTTGGAATAGCAATTATATCTTCTTTTTAGCTATAAGTATCCGGATTGTAACGTACAATTAACAATTACGAGACAATTGTGGGGTTTGAATGTTTACCGAACCTTTCTAACCATCTATAAAAAATGTTGGATTGGAATAGTTGTCCACGGTGAATACTATTAGATTCAGTATAGAAAAGTAGAAAAATCTATTTTTAATTTTTTTATATTGTATATCCTTTCAACTTATGTTTTGCGTGAAACGGTCTGGAGCATACAATGAAGCGTGGGCTACTCGACCTTTACGCCTTCTTCTTTCCTTTTGGTTTTATTTGTCCTTGAAATCGAGAGCGTATGGTGGATAGTAATTAAATCTTTAAACTTGCCATTTTGCCGTTTACGTTTATAATATTTAATCAACTGGGAAAAAACGGAATTGCCAATGGATAATGGTAATCGATCCTATCAGAAAAACATGCTAAAAGAGTAAAGGTCATGTTGGTTTTGGTGTGTTTTTCGATAGGATGTTATAACGTATGACGTTGTTAGGGGTACATTTTCTTAAAAATTCGCCGATTAGAATAAGTTCAAAAGGTCTACAATAAAAATCAGTTTTTCCG